TGGAACTTTCAATTCTGTTCTGTTCTTCGTGGGTATGATTTGTTTGATCATTTTACTGGTGAATCAGTTTGTCCTCCCAAATTTCTTGTTACTCCTGAATTAGGGGTTACCAATGAAATTAGTACTGCATATAAAGCTTGGGTTCAAACTGATATGGCTCTTTTGAGTCTTCTTATTGCCACTTTGAGTGATGATGCCATGGAATATGTTGTTGGTTGTAAAACTACTCATGAAGCTTGGACTGCCTTACAAGATAGATATATGTTTGTCTCGAGTGCTACTGTGAATCATTTGAAAGCTGAGTTACACACTATTCAGAAAGGAAGTGATAATGTTGATAAGTTTTTGTTGAGGTTAAAGACAATTAAAGACAAACTTATTGCAGCTGGTGAAAAGATTACAGACAATGATTTGGTTATTGCTGCATTGACTGGTTTACCTGCTGACTTTGATACGATCAGAACTGTGGTATTGGCCAGAGATACACCTATCTCGTTGAAAGAATTCAGGGCTCAAGTCTTAGGGGCTGAAAAGATTATAGAAGCTAGGATGCAGTCTCTTGTTCACAGCATGGCAGCTATGTATGGTAATGGTTCTGTTCCATTTTCTTCTGGTGGTAATTCTGCATATCAATTAGTTTCACATGCATCCAGTCCTTCTACTGGTTCTGATTCTACGATGCCACAGTCATCCAATTTTGGCTTTGGTCTTGTTGCTCCTGATTCCTCTAATTCAGGTGGCTCAACTTCTCAGACTTGTCAGCAGTTTCCTCCTCATAATGCTAATGTTTTTAGTGGGCCTAGAAATAATTTTGGTAATCATGGACATAGGTCTTTTGGTCATAATAATGGCCATACTTCTTTTGGTAATACCTATAGTACTCAGTCTGGTCATAGTGGTTATAATTCTTCTGGTCATAACTATGGCAATTCATCTGGAGGTAATGGTTACAGAGGCAAAGGGAACGGTGGCTATCGACCTAAGTTCAATGGTAATCGATCTGGTAATTACTAGTCAGGTAACACTACCACTAGACCGAATATAGTTCCTGAATGTCAGATTTGTTCAAGGAAAGGACATACGGCAGTGACTTGTCAGTACAGAAATGAAACTACTCCGGTTGTGCAAGAATGTCAGATTTGTGGTAAGAGGGGCCATATTGCCATTGATTGTCGACACTGGGGTAACTATGCTTACCAAGGGGCTCCTCCTCCTCCTTCCCTCAGTGCCAATTATGCCTTTCAAGATTATCCTTCTCAGTTTCAGTATCCTAGTGTTCCACCTCCAGTTCAGTTTCCTGACCTTTCTGGTTATCAAGGGGTTTCTTTCACTACTCCACAAGTTCCTCCAAATTTTCAAGCTTCTGTAAATCAAGGCCAGTCTTCTCTTATTTCATCTAGTTCTCAAGATCATGATGTTTCATCTGATATACCTGCTTTGAATGCACAAACTTCTTCTGGTCATGGTTCTTGGATTCTTGACACTGGTGCCTCACATCACATGAGTCCCAATGTTAATCTGTTAGATACAGCTATTCCTTATACTGGAGATAAACGAATTGTTGTTAGCAATGGTGATGGTTTAACTGTCAATCACATTGACACTGCCTTCTTACTTACATCTTCACATACTTTATATCTTCGATGAAGGAAGATTTTGTGAAAACATGTTCATTTAAGCAACATCTATTAGCATGCACTTAAAAACAAAACATTAACCAAGAAATTCAAAGCCTAGTAGATTGGTGAACCAAGACTCAACTCAAATCAAAGTGAGTTGAGAAATTTATACCTTTGTAGATTCCTCTTTGCATAAGCAAAGGCTAATCACCCAAAGAGAGGGTCTTCATTCCTTGCTTCTTAGATCCATGGATTTGGATGGAAGAATAGATTCTCCAAGTTCCCAAAATTGAGAACCTTTAAGTTTCCACACCAAGGATGGATTGATGAAGAAATGAGTGACCTAGAGGAAGCAAGATTGCAAGTTAATTTCCTCTAGGGTGGCCGGCCTCTTTAGAGAGAAAAGAGAGCTTTGTGTTCTCATCTTTTCTCCAAAAGAAACCCTTAATGAATTTAGGCTATAAAGTCCTTTATATAGTCCCTTCAAATAAGTGACCTAAAGAACCAAAAAGCCATTCTTCTAACATGGCCGGCCACAAGGGTTTTATGGGATTTTGGGCCTTTGTGAATTAAGTTGTCATACAACTTAAGTCAATGGGCTTGACGTTCGAAGCCCATTGGGCCTTGAGGCCCAAAACTAACCCGTGGTCTTTTAACGAACTTATTCGTTTGATTAATTAACATATTAATTAATCATTGCCATAAATAATTAAACCATTTAATTATTCTTACTCATCTCCGTTGTTTCTTCAATCTTTACCTTACACGGTGTACGATCCATTAGGTTCCTTTTAGTGAGGCAGTGGGCGATTAAAACTCTTTCAAACCGATTGTGAATTGAAACTTACTTTCAATTCTCCCTTTAGTGATTATACACGTTTAGGGCTTCCACAAACCATGAGTGACACCTAGCAGCATATCATGGTTACCCAAGCTAATCAGAAGAGGTGGAGAACCTATTCAGTTTAGGATTACAAATGCAATACGGTCTTTCTCTAATACAATACTCTTGACCACATTGTTTGGTTTGATAGTTTATTCATGTCTACTATCCAATGTGATTCATTTACTTATATGATTACCTTGAATGTGATTTGGAATGCCTTCCTAAATCTCATTCATACTCTGATCAGAGATTTTCAATCATATCATAGAGTATTCTCCCCCAAATGGTTTGAAGGTTAGATATCCCTTGTTGCGCATTCAATTGCCTCCATGGCTAAGTGGCTTAACCCCAACGATGCCATGGACACCCGGGGATGGGGTGACTTTGACATAATCAAAGATCAAGGACTTAACCACAAGACAACTGTGATGCCTCAGGTCAAATGACTACTTTGCATTATCCCAACCATGAGTTCTCATGTGATATGAATATGAGAACTCTTCGTTGATCGTGTTCAGTGAACTCATTCTCTATTGAGCACCTACGTACTTGTCTTGATGTCACACACACCAATGACTCGAGACTAGTCACTCTCCTTGAGAGAAGACACAGCACGTACTGATCTTAACGGATTGTCAATGCCCAATTGGCAATCCTATGATCAGGAACGTTTAGGATGTGTCTACGAAAAATGGTCTCATGAATCTAACTTCTTTAGATTGCATTCTCCCAATCACATATTCCTTGGATTTATCGTTTAAGCATATAACATTTATATGAGACGGCTCAAACAATAATCTTTGCCCTTTATATTTAAACTACATTAGTTTAACTTTGTGAAATGTCCGTAAAGTATCATCATATGATTGGTTTTAGGGCACATTTCCAACATTCGAAATGTCTTGCATGTGCCGATGTTAACAGTCAATTTGTTGTATGTTCAGCAGTTTTGTAAAGACAATCATAGTTGGTTTATTTGTGATGATACTCAGTTCTATGTGCAGGACAAAGCAACGGGGCTGATTCTTTACCAAGGAAAGAGTAACAATCGTGAGCTTTTTTGCATTCCTGTCCATCTATTTCCCAAGGTGTTGACTCCAGATGATTCTTCTTGTTCTGCATTTGTTGGCAAAGCAGTTATGTCATCTTTGTGGCATCACAGACTTGGACTTCCTTCTAATGATGTCTTGACAGCTATGCTTAGAAGTTCAAATATTTCTTTTAGTCATGATGTACCGGATCAACCTTGTTCTCATTGTTTTAGTGGTAAAATGAGTAGATTACCATTTGTTGAATGACTAGATAGAGTTGAGATTCCTTTTCATAAGATTCATAGTGACATTTGGGGTCCTTCACCAATAGCATCTATAGAAGGCTTCAGATATTATGTGTCATTTGTAGATGAAGCAACTTGGTTTGTATGGCTCTTTCCATTAATGAATAAATCAGAGATTTTTGGTACATTTGTCAAGTTCTTTGCCTATGTTGAGAATCAATTTAACACAAAGATTAAGGTGTTACAATCTGATGGAGGAGGAGAATTTCTGAGCACTGCATTTAAGGATTATCTTGCTAATCATGGTATTGTTCATTTTATTTCTTGTCCATATACACCACAGTAGAATGGTTTAGTGGAAAGAAAACATCGACACATCATAGAAACTGCTATTACTTTGTTGACAGCTGCTAGTCTTCCCCATAAGTTTTGGTATCATGCTGTGGCACATGCGGTGTTTTTAATTAATCGAATGCCTAGCAAGACTATTGGTAGGGTTTCACCTTTTCCGAAGTTGTTTCACACTTTACCAGAGATTTCATCTTTAAAAGTCTTTGGCTCAGCCATTTATCCTTATCTCAGGCCATACAATGATCACAAGCTTCAACCAAGATCCACTCAATGTGTTTTTCTAGGTTACTTTTCTGGTTATAAAGGAGCTATTTGCTTTACAAATTGACACACAAGTTCTTTCTTTCTCGACATGTTCTACATGATGGGACTATTTCTCGGTATAAAGCTCGACTTGTTGCTCAGGGTTTTAGTCAAGAAAAAGGCTTGGATTATACAGAGACTTTTAGTCCTGTGGTTCGGCACACAATTGTACGGATGATTCTTGCATTGGCTACAACTTATAAATGGTTTCTCTGACAACTTGATGTGAAAAATGCCTTTTTACATGGAGAGTTAAATGGGGAGGTGTACATGAAGCAACCTTCAGGGTTTGTCAATCTTCAGTGTCCAACACATGTGTGTAAGTTGGTTAAGTCCTTGTATGGGCTTAAGCAAGCTCCCCGAGATGGAATTCTAAATTTACAGGTTATTTGGCAGCCGTGGGTTTTCATACTTCTTCCTCAGATTCCAGTCTTTTTGTTAAACAAGTGGGTACTGATGTGGTTATACTACTTCTCTATGTCGATGATATAATCCTTACAGGCTCCAATGTTACTTTAATTCAATATGTTATTGATGATCTTGCTGGTGTTTTTCTCTCACGGACATGGGTCAATTAACATATTTTTTGGGTTTGCAAATCCAATACAAGTCCAATGGTGCTATGTTTGTTCATCAGGAGAAGTATATTAAGGACTTGATTCATAAAGCAGGCATGGATAATTGTAAATCATGTGCTACTCCTTGCAAGCCTCATAGTTCTGTTTTGGTAGCTGAAGGGGAATTGTTGACAGACCCTACTTTGTACAGAAGCCTTGTTGGATCATTGCAATATCTAACTTTTACAAGGCCAGATATTGCTTTTGCGGTTAATACTGTGTGTCAATTTATGCATGCTCCTACTGATGTTCATCTTGGTTTGGTAAAGCGAATTATTCGGTTTTTACAAGGCACAATGAAATGTGGATTGACTTTTACTTCTGGTAGTGGGATTGATATCAGAGGTTATAGTGACTCTGATTAGGCTGCTGATGTTAATACTAGACGGTCTATCACAGGTTATGTGGTCTATCTTGGTGCCAATCCCATCTCCTGGCAATCCAAGAAACAAAGTTTTGTTTCTCGCAGTTCCACCGAAGCATAATATAAAGCTCTTGCACATGCTGCTGCTGATATTGCATGGATTCGATTGATATTGTGTGATTTGTGTGCTATTGTTTCCAATCCACCTCTTTTGCTGTGTGATAATCAATCTGCCATTGCATTGAGCTTGAATCCTATTCATCACTCAAGGATCAAGCATTTAGAAACAGATTTTCACTTTGTCCGAGAGCGTGTTCAAAAAGGAGATATGGATGTGCAGTATGTGCCTACCCAAGACCAAATCGCAGATATACTTACCAAGGCTTTACATGGCCCCGATTTTCTTCGACATTGTCACAATCTTAATCTGGGGTATCCCAGTTAAGATTGAGGGGGGGTATTGGATATACATGTGCCACATAAGGCAATTGCCACATTAGCACTAGCTTTAGAGATAAGCTACTTTTGATATGTGGTATAAATAGGCTTTATATTCTTTTCTTTTTCTGTTAAGTCAGTGTGTATGTAAAAACAGAAGATCAGAGAAATACAATTGAGCTTTCTTTCTTCCTCTACAAGATTACTAGGGTTTATTTTTCTCACAGATTCTTCAGCTCATACAAGAATGTTAAGATGCGTAGGGTACACAGACCTCAACAAAGCATGCCTAAAGGATCCTTATCTAGTTCTCCGAATCGATCTACTAGTAGATTCAACTTCCGGGAACCAGTTGCTCAGTTTCTTAGACACATACTCTGGCTATAACCAAATAACCATGCATGATCTCGACAAGGAGAAAACTATGTTTAAGATTGGGTGAGGTACCTACTACTACAAAGTCATGCCATTCAGCCTCAAGAACGCGGGAGCCACTTACCAACGACTAGTAAGCATGATGTTCAAGAAGAAAATTATAGTAACCATGGAGGTTTACGTCGACGACATCATGGTAAAGGGCAAGCAGCAATCATACCATATCGTCAACTTGACCGAACGAACAGCTGCGCTCAACCGCTTATTTTTGTGGTCTACTAATCGATCCAAGTCTTTCTTCAAAGTAATAAAGATGGCACATCGAGACAAATAGGATGATGAGTGCAAAAGAGCTTTCCAAGACCTGAAGAAGTATCTCACATCACATCCCTTAGTATCCAAGCCGGAAGTAGCGAATGACTTATACATCTACTTGGCAATTTTAGAAGTAGCAGTGAGCTTTGCCCTCATACGAGAAAAATGGGGCCCAATTGCCTGTATTCTACACTTCTAAAGCTTTTCTTGATTTTGGTGCTAGTTGTTGTGGCTCGGGAGGTCAGACCATATTTTCAAGCTCATACAGTTATCGTTATGACTTAGTATCCTCTATGATCAATCCTACGTGGTTCGGAAGCTTCTCAAAGAGTAATGGAATGAGCATTGGAACTTGGCCAATACAATTTAGTTTACTGACCTCGCATAACGATAAAGGCCCAAGCCTTGATGGACTTCATAACAGAATTCATGCCTAACCTAGGTGAGTAACAACGTGCCCCAACGATGCCCCAGAGGTAACCGAATAGTCAATCTGCTTGACGGGCACCACCTCGCAAGCCGATGACTATCAATTGTCATGCAGTTCCTACCTTATAGCTAAATGTTCATTCATTTCACTCGTTTTTCAATGAGGAATTCAGAAGTTATTTACAACTTGGCTCGGCTGCATACTTACAACAACTAATCACTTATGTATTTCAAGAAAAAATTGCGCCTTTTTAAGGGACTTATTGCAGGAATCGCACCTCTCTGGGAGCCAACCTTGCTCTCCAGTGCTATAGGGTAAACCAATTCTCTAACACCCATATGTGTCTGCTCTCCGATGCAAGAGGATAAACTATAAACTTCAAATATCCAGACATGGATGAGTCAGGCTGCCTTGGTGTAACTAGTGCATGACGGCTTGTGCCGAGATTCTTAAAAGTAGCCACAATAGTCATTTTCAAGGCTTATTTATCTGAAGGATTTTTGGTCTTTGGCCTAATCCGAGGGGAACCGGGCCTAAAAAATGGATAGGGCCACATAACTCAAAGGATTGAAGAAAGCCAAAGTTAATAGCCAAGTGGTCATGCAAACTCGTCTACTTCTGTAAGTAAGGCGTCCGACTATCAACCCTATGGCTAACAACTTTGCAAAAGTTCTACACCAAAACCTACGGCTGCATAGGTTACATGGGCATTGAACGAAATTTTGTGAAAAACATGTTCATTTGAGCAACATCTATGGCATGCAATTAACAATTAAAGGCGGAATCATGCTTGTATGCATTTAAAAACAAAACATTACCCACGAAATTCAAAGCCTAATAGAAAGGTGAACCAAGACTCAACTCAAGAACAAATTGAGTTGAGAGATTTTATACCTTTGTTGATTCCTCTTTGCATAAGCAAAGGCTAATCACCCAAGGAGAGAGCCTTTATTCCTTGCTTCTTAGATCCATGGATTTCTTGGATGAGGATGGTTGAAAGGATTTTCCAAGTTCCTAAAGTTGAGAACCTCTAATTTTCCACACCAAGGAGGGACATGAAGAAAAGATGAGTGACCTTGGAGGAGGAAAGATTGCTAGCTAATCTCTTCCAAGGGGCCGGCCTCCTAGAGAGAAAGGGAGAGACATGTTCTCTCCAATTTTCTCCAAAAGAAACCCTAAGGATGAAATGTCTATAAATTTCCCTTATACCACCTCACAATGGAGTGGCAAACTTGCAATTAAGCCAAGTTCACTACCCCTCTCTATATGGTCGGCCATTAAGGGTTCATTGGGCTTTCATGCCCTTTGTGTTTTCAAGTTGTCATACAACTTGAGTTAATGGGCTTGACATTCAAATCCCATTGGGCCTTGCGGCCCAAAACTAACCCGAGGTCTTTAACGAACTTTATTCGTTTGATTAATTAACATATTAATTAATCCTTGCCATAAATAATTAAACCATTTAATTATCTTTACTCATCTCCGTTGTTTCTTCAATCTCTACCTTACACGGTGTACGATCCATTAGGTTCCTTTTAGCGAGGCAGTGGGTGATTAGAACTCTTTCAAATCGATTGTGAATTGAAACTTACTTTCAATTCTCCCTTTAGTGATTATACACGTTTAGGGCTTCCACAAACCATGAGTGACATCTAGCAGTATGTCATGGTTACCCAAGCTAATCAGAAGAGGTGGAGAACCTATTCAGTTTAGGATTACAATGCAATACGGTCTTTCTCTAATACAATACTCTTGACCACATTGTTTGGTTTGATAGTTTAATCATGTCTACTATCCAGTGTGATTCATTTACTTATACGATTACCTTGAATGTGATTTGTAACGACTTCCTAAATCTCATTCATACTCTGGCCAGAGATTCTTAATCATATTATAGAGTATTCTCCCTCAAATGGTTTGAAGGTTAGAGATCCCTTGTTGCGCATTCACTTGCCTCCATGGCTAAGTGGCTTAACCCCAATTATGCCGTGGACACCCTCTGACAGAGTGACTTTGACATAGTCAAAGATCAAGGACCTAACCACAAGACAACTATAATGCCTCAGGTCAAATGACTACTTTGCATTATCCCAACTATGAGTTCTCATGTAACATGAGTATGAAAACTCCTCGTTGATCGTGTTTAGTGGACTTATTCTCTATTGAGCACCTACATGCTTGTCTTGGTGTCAATCACACCAATGACTCGAGACCAGTCACTCTCCCTGAGAGAAGACACAACACGTACTGATCTTAACGGACTGTCAATGCCCAATTGGCAGTCCTATGATCAGAAACGTTTAGGATATGTATACGAAAGAGAATGGTCTTATGAATCTAACTTCTTTAAATTACATTCTCCTAATTATATATTCCTTGGACTTATCGTTTAAGCATATAACATTTATATGAAATGGCTTAAAACAATAATCTTTGCCCTTGATATTAAACTAAATTAGTTTAACATGTGAAATGTCTGTAAAGTATAATCATAAGATTGGTTTTAGGGCACATTTCCAACAATCTTCCACTTGCATTAGAGCCAATCAGCTTGGTCATCAATGATGATACCTCTTCTGTAGTCATTTCAAAAATGGCTGAGTAGTAGGCCTAGACAATGGATATCTATATGTTAGCCATAGAAGCAACCTTGAGAATAATGACGTCACCATTATACATGATTCTTAATCATGTGGTTTAGTTTCTCATTTGAGTTCGGATCATGATGAGACCTTGATTCCTTGGCTTGAGCTATCGCCCCATTAGTGTCGTAGTATCGGTACACTAGAGACACTTCCTGGTTGAAATCGAATAGAGAGTTCATGAATGAACTTTCTCATCCAAGCAACATTGTTGTAAGCTTCTATATGGCAATATATTTTGCATTCACAATGGAACACACTAAATTCATTACTTTTAATGTTTCCATCCAAATATCTCTTTAGTCATAATAAAGAGATATCTGATTATCTCTTCATTCATAATGAAGAAACATCCAATGATGGATTAGATTCATAATCTAATACATTTACGCTTCCATTACGTTACTCTAATTCTTCCTCATTCTTGAGGAATCCATCCTTTATTATTTCTCAAATACTTAAGAATTCACTTTATAGTTGCCATGGTTCTGATCCTGGACTTGCATTGATATCGTCTTGTACCGATCTTGGTACAACTCATATCAACGTTTTTCATACAATATGAAATACATAAATCACCTTTTTGCGTATACATAAAGGATTCTATTTGCGCATTATTTCTTTGGGAGTCAAAGGGTACGTTCCCTTTGAGAAGAGCTACCTCCTAGTCTTATTAGAGTTGTTCTTCTGATTGAAGTTTATCATCATATGAAAAACTTCCTAGCATCTTTTGTCTATCATTAGGGCTTGATATAATCCAATTATATCCTGAAATCTATCATTATAGATTTCCATCCCATG